AGTGCCTAGCTATACATCGATACTTCATAGTGAAGATTCAACGTGGCTAACGTTGAGGTAGCTACCTCAAACCGAATTGCTATCGGAAGTAACCAATGAAGACATGACGTGGTGCCCATTCAAGCCGAAGCACACCACGTCGAGTGTATGAGTGACGGCTGCGGGGCAGGTGACGCCGACGTGGCATGAGCACGGCGTGAGATACATGGCATTGACGCAGCGTTTGGTGAGCGGCGTGTTGATGTCTGCAGTGGGACACTGTTTCCATCAGAATGATACCAGGTGACTTTGTTCCTTTTATTATGATTTTGATACGTCTGATATGATGATCTGATATTAACTCCATGTTTTTATTACTTCCACTGTCGCACCTTTATTGTCTTTCTTATATTTTATTTGTACTGCATCGTGGCTGGTGCTAAACAAATGTTTTCTATTTCTTTCTTTCTTTTTGATAAGTACTCTATAGGTCAAAACGGGTCATAGATTTGAGTTTACCGTTATTCGTTTTCCAATTAGAAATTTTATTTTTTGTCGGGTACCTAGTTAATTAAAGAAAATAGTCGAGATGTTTTGGATCAGAGATTATACATGGTCATTAGTGTTATTCTCTGTATATTGTTAGGTAATATCTCAAGTATTCTTGGTTGGTTTTCATTTGGTTGGAGGTATAGTTATCGCGAGGTAGATGCAGAATTCTGTACAGAGTGTCGAGAGAAGTAGTTTATGGCAAATAAAGATCAAAAGCTGCTAAGTTTTGAAGAGTCCTCTGAAGTCCTAGGTTCATTTAAGATTTTTGTTGGGTTAGAGTACAGTTAAAGTTGTAAGCGTATCTCATGGTCGGTTGAGAAACATGCTTCCCTTGCTCTTGCCTTTGGGGTTTTTACCAGGGGACTCGAGTCCATATAATGAAACTACAGTCGTGGCTGACTTGTGACTGGAGTACTTGCGCTTGACAATCATGGTGTTGGCTGTTGATCATTTATCTTGATTTTGATTTAAAGGTACTTTGACATGAGATATGTTTCTGCTAAGTGAGTTGTAGTTGTAGTGGGTAGATAGGCGGTTAGGTGCGTATTCCAGGTGTTTTCAGGTCGGGTTTTGCCTAATTGAGAAATCGCGGAGCAATGAGACTCGGCATTTCATTTTTATAGTGCGTCTAAAAATGTCTATCGCGGCGCGTATAAGTTGCGTAAAATGTTGAGAAATCTGTTTGTAACGGATGGTATTGAGATACTGTAGTTCTGAGGACAAAGGATGGGGAGAATATCTGATCACTAATCTGTGATCCTCCTGATGTTCCTATATTCAATATATTCAGTGTATTCTCGGAGCTCGTTGGTTTCATTACACTCATCCAAACACCCAACCTTATTGGAAATCAGTGTATCTTGGGGAACCTCTAGTAGTCAGTGCGCGGTGCGTGTTTGGTTCTGGGCGGGGTCGTGGTCTTGAGGACCGTACACGTGTGTGGATTCACACGGGAGATCCATTCGGAGGAAGGATACTCACATGGGGCTATGTGATAGCCGTCCGGCCAGAGAGCCGAGGCGACTGGCGATAGAGGAGTTACTCGAGTCACAAAAATAATCTCAATTACTGAGATGTGAATTATAGTGTCAGTGGTACATGACTCCGGCGGGGCGGCTGGTTGACTAGGTACTCTTCAGTAATAAGATTTGATTGAGTTACATTGTAAAGATGAAAATACTTCAAGTTACAGTTTCAAGTATATTTTGTTTGTGAGTCTATAGATTGGAGAATTAAGAAACAAAACAAGTAGGTAGTGTGAGCAAGTTTCTTTATTTTGCTTACTGAAAAAAAGAATGCAGATAGAGTAGTGGTCAGATTGGGCCGAGTGGAGATTGCTCTCGTTGACGTGTTGGTTACAGATTCACACGAGGACGTGTCATGGAGGATGGCCGTGTCGGAGCCGGTCATGTGTTTGGGCGCTAAATGGAACGCAAGCGCGCCACCTAGCTGATTTCTGGTGCGCTTAGGCAGAATCGTCGCGGTAGAGTCGCACTCGGCGGAGCTCACTTCAGTTCGAGTCGCCACCGAGTGAGGACGTTGTCACGGAACTGCCCTACGTTTTACTCAGTGTTTTTGTTCCGGAAGCAGCGTTTAAAAAATGTTTTGTTGAATGAATTATTCGTTGGCGCAACTGTATCGTTTCTAAAGGAGCATACTTTGAAGGTGATAAAATAAATTTGGATGAATAACAGACATTTTGTGTATTATTGATCTTTACCCGGTACTAGACAGAGTAGTATATTATCTGTAAGCATGTTATCCCACCACCAATGTACCCGCATTCATGTTTATAGAAGGAGCATTCAAACGGTCGCGTTATCGCGCACCACTTTGTCTGCAGCGGCCGTGGCGTGCACACCGCCACCCCGGTACCGGTATTGTAATTGAGTAGTATTTAATTATTAAGTTCAAGGTTTTGTTCCTTCTATTTTATTTACTTGATTTTATTGTTAAAATTGTTGTTAAAACTATTTTTGTGTTAATTGAAATTACTTTTTGTAAGAAATGAAGTGAAGTGTTTACATTGTCTTTTTTTAAATAAATTTGATTTTCATTTCTAAAAATACATTATGTTACAAAAACCGTATCGTTCCTTCTACTTCTACCTACGTTTAAGGTCTCTGCAGACAGTGGGCGCGGCGCGACGGCATGCGGCACGGCTACTCTACAGACGGCTATAAATCTAGTACATTACAACTGCTTAGTGCGGCGCCGCGCCCGCGGTGGGCAGAGACCTTTAAGAATCAGCATACGGACGTAATAAAGCACGTCATTTATAAAAAATGTTCGACAAAAATAATTACATTAAATATTTAATTATTAATATTTGTGATGTTTCAATGAGTTCTTACCTCTGTTATTACTGCATGAAGACTAGACATACGAGTAGTATGTTCCCGCCAATATCTTTAATCGGTGCACCGCGACGCCGCGACGCCGCGTTGCGCGCATGTCTACCTATTTCTCTATCAGTACAACAAGTGACCCTGTCAGCTGTTCTTTAGCACTTTAACGAATTAATCTTTGAAAAAGTTGCTTATGTATGTACCAATGATCATCATCCGCGCGTTTGTTCCGGTTGCAATGTTCTTGACAGTTGTGTACACTAGGTACATTAACTTAACACTTTACATAAAAACAAAGTCACCGAGTCAATCACATACGTATTGCAATAACATAATACAATGTCCACTCGACGGCCACGACCACAGACATTTACGTAAACAAAACACAAGTTAGTCCGTAGGTCAACAATTACATCCGATCGAAAGTAAGTTGCGCGGGAGACTAGGTAGGGAGGGAGGGACCTGGGAAGGGAAGTAGGAAGAGGAAGTGAAGTGATTCGCGACGCGCCAGACGCCGGCCGCGGCGGGAGGCGGGGTAAAGGGGTAGGCACGTGCGCCGCGGTAACGTTTGGCGGCATCTTCTGTCGCTGTCAAAGCAAGCCGCCGAGCTCATAGGCTATTTAGCAAAATAAAAAAAAATGTATCTATTAATTTTTTTTTTTAAACTGTCAAACACCGCGCGGTCACCGGTGACCGCAACCTATTGTTCTATAATTGTGTCTACAAAACCGGTACTCGACGAGTTAATAAATAGTTCTTTCTGTGACGTAAACTAAATAACGTACGAAAAATAATAAAATAAAAAACTGCGTTTAAAAAACCGACTTCAAAAAACCAAAAACTAATAACAAACATAAAATTAAAACTAAAAAGCAAAAAATAACTACACTTACGGACACTTGAATCGAGCCACATTACATTCCCGGGCCTAAAAGTACATTACACAGAATACATGCAATATAACAAAAAAGTTTTTATGCATTTGTTTTTATTTTATTATTTTATCATTTTCAGTGTAAAGCTACATATACCCGTTTTGTTACTTATAATCTACATAGGTGCAAAGTTCTAATCAATACAAATTGTACAAGCCCAAACACAAGGTAGTTACGGTATACTGTTGAGGAGTTCCCTTAACAATTACACTTCTTCATCATCAGACCCATAATGACAGCCCCACTCTATCTAGGTGTAAAGTCCTCATCAATACAAATTAATCAAGCCTAAACACAAGGTAGTTAATATCAACCACTGAGGAGTTCCCTCGACTGTCTGTCGGCTCCATCATCAGGTCGACTCCAGACCCTTATCAAATTGTAGTGTTCAAAAACATAATAGACGCATTACTCGTCCATAGGATTTTCGAAAGTTCCCCTCGGTTTCCCTAGGATCCCATCATCAGATCCTGATCTCATGGAAATGGGACCATCTCGAGAGTATACCCTTTCCAACAAAACAAGAATTTTGGAACACAAACGTCGGAGTACTGCGCGAACAAACAAAACAAAAAAAAACAGTCAGCCGAACATAGTACCTCCTCCTTTTTTTGAAGTCGGTAAAAACTGTCAGTGTCGTTCTTAGACAGCTACACAATTTTGATACTAGAGGCGCTAATTACAATCTTTGTATAGCTATTATCATCTTTAGATGTTTTTGTAGTTAAATTCAATGGGATTTTTTCACTACAACCAAAAATGTTGAATATCTCAAAAACTAGCCACTTCTGGACAAGAGACCTCTAGGGTTTCCTCATCAATTATGTAGGAATTATGTAGTTGTATTATCACCTTCCGAGGGGAATACGTCGATTTTCAAGTCGCCCTGTAAAACGTATAGCTGGAAATGTTTTCATGTCAACCGTGATATTTGGGTCGAAGGGTTTGTGGGTAAAGGGTAGCTAATGACTACCCAAATTCCTGAAAAAATTGTGTCTATTCATACATACGCAAAACATTCTACGTATTTGATTAAAGTTTGCCATAGTGCACGATATCAATGACACTATGGGCTATGGTCATAGATATGTGGTCTTATCATATCAGTGGCTATGACTGAGTAGAACAGTTGTGACATGACAATTGACAATGACAGACGACAGTACAACTGTCATCTATCAAACGTGACGTTGACATTTAATGATTTGATGTGATTTCGAGTTTATTTGGTGGCGGGAGTTATTTTTCTGGCGTTGTTTGGTTATTTGTGATAGTTATCAAGCTAAGTATTCGTGTGTCAGTGAGTAGTATCAGGCGGCGAGTTTGTAGTGCTCAGCGAGTGACAGTGGTTCCGTACGAGCAGAGCTTAGTGCTGGAAGCTGTGGAGCCGGTCGGCGCCGGGCATGTAGCGTCCAGTGTCGAGTGCTGGCTGTAAATGTGTGACGCGGGAGAGAGCACCGCGGCGGGCGTGATGGCGGCGAAGTACTTCGTGTACGGGTCGGGGCGCTGGCGGGCGCTGGACGTAGCGTCGGGTCGTGTGGCGGGCTGGCGGCGGCGCGCGCGGTTTGTCTTCGTCAGGCGCGGGCGGCTGCAGGTGGCGCGACGCGGCGCCGTGCTGCGGGCGCTGCGGGCGCTGGCCGCGGGAGAGCCGGGTGCGGCAGCCGACGGGCCCCGCCTGCCCACTCGCAGGTACCGTGCCATACATCGCGTAGGCAGTAGCCACTCAATGTATGGGTCGCTGCTTGGGTTACCTGTTTGCTATGTCCGCCTCGCTATTAACTCTAAACCCTAAGAACACGACAGCAACTCCACTTCTTAGCAACATCTTAACAAGTTATTATATGTATTATGTTCAGTCCATTAATGTTTGAGTCTCTGGTGCCAAGTGTGGAGTCTGTATGTTGGGAAGGATGCGGAGTGGTACACAAACTATATTAGCTCGGTTTGACCCGCTGTATCTGTACACTACTGTGAGATACTAGGTAGTGGTGCAGGGATTGTAATGTACATTAACTCGTTGAGTACCGTCATTATAGACACAATTATAGAACAATAGGTTGCGGTCACCGGGGACTGCTTGGTGTTTGACAGTTTAATGTTCTTCACATGCCCTTTAAAGTCTTTAAAAAAGTCTTTTTCGTTTAAAGTAATAGTAATGAGTATGCGTTTGGCGCTGTGATTGGCTGGCTCTAATGATCCAACCAATGAACACAGCACGCCGTCTCGTTTCGATTACTTCTACATAATATCTCTGACGTGAGAGTGGTGTTGTAGCTTAAAGACAAAATAAATATTATTTATCATTAAAAAAAAAACCGGCCCAGTGCGAGTCGGACTCGCGCACCGAGGGTTCCGTACAAACCTGCAAGGTTTACAAAGTTCGTTCATTACGACAATCGAGTCATAACTATGGTATTTTTATTGCAAAATGAAATTCATAACATTACAATGGGGAAAGATGGAGGAGCAAGGAGCTTGCGAGTACTTGCGAGTTTCAAAATATGCTGCTTAAATTGCTGTTTCTTTTGATTGCGTTGACATAGAAGTTTGATTTTGTTACAGCTTAAAGGTATTATAGACCTGAGTATTTGGTATGAATTTCAATTTAATACCTCTACACGTTTATGAGGTAATGGGTAGTAAGTTTAAAATTATTAAAAAAAAATATATTATGTGATGTAACTAAAAATTTATGGTTTTCGTAATTTTTCCTTTATCTATGCTATAAGACGTTGCTTCGTACCAAATTTCAAGATTCTGAGTTCACGGGAAGCACCCTGTAGGTTTTGATTCCCTTGCAAGTGTCGAAAATTTGCGGCATAAACGGCTGTATCTTTTGATTGCGTTGGCTTAGAAGTTTGATTTTTTCACAGCTTCAAGGGACAGTAGACCTGAGTAATTGATATAAATTTCAGCTTCATACCTCCACGCGTTCCTGAGAAAAAGAGTATTGACAGACGGACGGACGGACGGACAGACGGACAACAAAGTGGTCCTATAAGGGTTCCGTTTTTTCCTTTTGAGGTACGGAACCCTAAAAAAGGAGAAACCGTTAGTAAAGTTAGCTGCCCAGTATGGTGTAGGTACATCCACGATTAGTGATATTAAGAACAATACTGATTCAATTTTGTTGTACACCTGCAAATTAGATAGTGAAGCTAGTAAACATCGGAAAATGATGAAGAAAACGAAAAATATACTTGTACTGTATTTGTTGTTTTTAATAAATAACATACATAACATCGTATGTACAACATATGTATGCACTAAACCCGCTTTTCTTAGTACTTTCGATTATCTGGATTTTCGATTATCCGAATGCCTAACGACAATTATTAGTCCGGTTAATCGAGTTTCTACTGTACTATGAGTTCGTATGCGCTTTCGAAGTTTCCTTTTTGCAACGGTTCACCAGTAATATTATGTGTTAAGCATCTTATTTCTTTGTACAACTATTGTATTACGGATACAGAAAAATTTTACTTTGTGACATAAACGAAATAGGTTTCACGGTGTAACTTAAATTACCTGTACATTTATAAAAAAATATCGCTATCATGCTTGCAACTCATTAGTGATGTTATAAGGAGTGTGAGAAGTTCAACCCGGACACAAGAACGTGTGTGTAGTTCTTACTTGTGTGAACAATTTATAATTACTGAACTAGTGACCCGCCCCGGCTTTGCACTGGTGCGATATACATGTACTATACATATAAACTTTCCTTGAACTGTCAAACACCGCGAGGACACCGGTGTCTGCACACCTATTGTTTTTCAATTGTGTCTATAATGACAGTACTCAAAGGGTTAAGAATCACTGTATCTATTAATAAAACCGCATCAAAATCCGTTGCGTAGTTGTAAAGATGTAAGCATACATAGGGACAGACAGACGGCGGATAGCGACTTTGTTTTGTACTACGTAGTGATGTGTCCGCAGGTCGGAGCGCGGCGCGGCGAGTGTGGGCGCAGTACACTCGTGTCCACTCCACTGCTGCACGCACTGCCGCAGGTAACTACTGTACTGCGCCATACACCATCGGTGTACTCTGGCCAATGTAGATCCAGTATAAATTGACCTTTGAATGTATGACAACATCATACAAAGTGAGAGCGTCATAGACTGGTTCCGTACAGGTCACTGTGTAGGCTCCCTAGCAGGTAGTGACGACCTACTCATGTAGGGGTTTGTGTTTTGATGAATGATGCCCCTTCCATGGGAAAATTTGTATGTCAGAGGGCTTAGTACGAGTTAGTTGTACGTTAAAAGTAATCGAAACGAGAACGCGTTCGGTTCTTTGATTGGTTGGTTCATTGGCACCGGCCAATCACAGCGCCGAACGAGTCCTTCACGTCAAAACTACTGAAGGGATTGTGGAACAGCTCTGCCCCTGTTGTATGGTCTGTAGTAGCACACAGGCCGGCTTGTGTTCCAGAAGCTAGTTGTTTTATAGAAGCAGTGTGTGTGTGTGTGTGAGCCATATATTGATACTATTACAGCGCGGTGCCGTGTGGAGGAACATGTGCGAGCGAGCGCGCAGTACCGCGCGTGTCCACCGTGATCGTCGCCACGTCACCGCTTATGGCCGCCCCGGCCGTGACGTCACACTGTACGGCTGGACAGTGGACAGACAGTGTCAGCTCGCCACATAAGGCTGGTTCCACTGTAAACACGCCACAAAAGGCAGGACCCACGAGCTCGCCCCGTAAGCCTGGCCCCGCTGTAAACTCGCCTCGTAAGCCGGGGCCTGCTATAAGCTCGCCTCGTAAGCCGGGGCCTGCTATAAGCTCGCTGCGTGAAGCTGGGCCCGCCGTGAGCTCGCCCCGTAAGCCCGGTCCCGCTGTAAGCTCGCTTCGTAAGGTGAGGCCCGCTTCAAATTTGCCCCGCAAGGTTCCCCCGGCAGATGGCGAGCGCGCTCAGTATCGCGAGCTAGTGATCTCGGATGCGGAGCTGTCGCTGGTGCGCGGGTACGTGGCGCGGTGGCGAGCCGGCGAGCTGGCTCAGTACGACGCGGACGAGCAGTACCGTCGCGCCGTGCTATACTCCATCCACCCCGTGGTCCGCCTGCGTCCGCTGGCCGCCGCAGTACTGGCCAAGTACAGGCCGCGCCGCGCCGCTCCGCCGGACTCCGACACCGACCGCGCCGACAAGGTAACATGCTTTCATAGTGTCTCACACAGACATCCGGCCGCCACACGGTCGGGGCGCGGGGACCGACACTCACCTAGCTGTCGTTTCATGTTCTACAATCGGTGATGTGTATCACCGAGTGTTGCCGGTACAGTAAATCATTCAGTTCCTCCCAACGCGGGACACAACTTGAGATGTCTGTGTGATGAATTCAAGTGACAAGGGGTTGGTTGCAGGAGAACACGGCGGAGAGTACAAGGGAGGCGAGCCCTGCAGCGCGGCCCCAGCTGGCCAAGCGGCCCGGCGGCGCGAAGCGCGAGGCCCCGAGCAAGCGGCCCCGGCTGGCGGAGCACACCAACCGGGCCCCTTCTCCCGAACTGGCGCATGTCATCAGCAACCGGTACTGGGCAGTATACTGCAGTGTCACATACTCCTTGGTCTCAGTCGTTGTCCGTGCTGCAGACGACTAGCGAGGGATGGCGCTGTACAATACAATGTGTGTGCAGGGCGGCGCCGGGCAAGGAGTACTCGAGTCTGGAGGACCACGCCATCGTGGCCTGGCTCAGCATCGGGGAACGAGCCACCCACGTCAAGGGCAATGCAATCTGGCGCGAGCTGCAGCTGGTGTACCCGGCGCTGGGCGGGCGCAGTCGGTCCTGGCACTCGCTGCGCAACAGGTACCTGCGCTACATCCTGCCCGCGCTGCCCGCGCTGCGCCTGCAGCCCGCCCTGCAGCAACGACTGCGCGCCGCCGCCGCCGCGGGTACGTCACACCCACCACTACTATCTCCTTGCACACTCCTTTGCACGTGAAATATTCGACAGCTGCAGTGATTGGACAAATAAAACTCTTCCTAAATTGGCGCCACCTGGTGGCCAAAAGTACAGTATCACCATTATATTAAGACCGACCGACTGTGCTGGACCCGGGTACGTCCTACTGCGGCCAGACACCGAGGAATGGGGAGCAGCATTCTGCAACTATCTGTACCGACCTGACTGCGCTCGCCAACCCGCCTGCCAAGCGTAGCGGTATTGGCAAATCCCCCCAATGGACTGCTCAGATAAAACTAGGCCCCCAGTCTCCGGCAGTCCCACCGTTCCTGGCCACCGTGGTATCCACACTCGACGACACCGACTGGCGCTGGTAACACACAATGTTCGCACTGAGGACGGACGAGAAGATTGCTGACCTTGGGTAGGTTGCACTGGAGTATTGTGGAGTTGGCAGAAGTCCGACGAGAGGGCGACGACACGATAACCCTAAGATCCGTCAATCCATTCTACTACCGGGAGGGCGACCAACTGTCCCAAGGTGGTGTCGGGTTTCTTGTCCATAAGTCTCTCGTCAGCAACATGTTACCGTCGGAAGCGTGTCGAGCAGGGTGGTACCTGATACTCAGAGTATCCAACAGGTACTCGTTGAAGGTCATCCAGGTTTATGCACTGACTTCGACACACCCAGATGAGGAGGTAGAGGTTATGTATGAGACATTAGTAGGGCCATACATACCAATAATACATACTTCAGTGTTGTTATGGGGGATTTTAACGCGAAACTCGAGGCGATTACGAGAGAGTGGGGCAATTTGGATATGGACATCGGAACCACAGGAGACAGAGGCTGACTGAATTCCTGGAGAAGGAGGACCTCTTTGTGATGAACTCCTTTTTCCAGAAGCCGTCTCACAGGAAATGGACCTGGATGAGCTCGGACGGTTCCACGACAAATGAGATCGACTAACTTTATCATGACTACAAAGCGACAGATATTCAATGGTGTCTCATCGCGATATTAAATATCAATGTTAAGTTGGAAAGATCCCGTCTGATGAAGTCCACGCTCCGACCTACAAATGCACATATCGGTTGCCCCGAGAGCTTTCAGATCGAGTTGTCAAATCGTTGTGACTTTGTGAGTGCCTGGAGAATAGCGAGTCAGTGGACGAGATTAACAACAGGTTCGTAGAAACTGTCCATGCGGCCGGGTCGAAGTTTTTAGACCCTGATTGCACCTCAGACTCATGGCAGAGCAACGTGCTATGGCGCTCCAGACCTCTGCCGATGCTAGAGCACATCGGGGGCTCAATAGACAGATATGGAAGTCCCTGCGACACGATATCCACAACTTTAACGCGAATTGGGTTAAAGAAGCGATAGAGCGGAATGAAGGCTCCCAAATGTTCGCTAGGGACATGTCTATTGGGCAAAGCCAGCTGACGAAGCTGAAGGCGGAGGATGGTAGTGTGGCGTCGACGAAAGCCGAAGTTTTGGGGGAGGTCGAGACGTTTTATGGTCAGCTATACGCATCGGTGACTAAACCTGTTAGCTCAGTCGCAGGTCCGAGAGGAAACGAGAAATCTGCAAATGAACAAAGGTCGCCGACATAACCCAACGAATTAGCGAGTTGAAGTGGCAGTGGGCACACAGTGCGGGGAGCCGACGGCCGCTGGCCAGGAACGTTCTCGAGTGGAGGAATAGAAGAACCTACGGAAGTACACTCGTTGGGTTGGTTCGGAGGTTCTGTCTTTGCAGGAATGAATGAAGCTCCTACAATTTCTACTACACGTACCGGCGCAGCGTGGGACGTCCATCCGCAAGGTGGACGTTCGGTGAAATTTTTTACTACAAAATTGATTCAGATAAATGAATTACATACTCACAATGTGACCGTGATATAACTCCATTCCCAGCGCTGAGTATGTTTCTGCTTAATTTTAGATTTACACACATTGAAACTGGTACTAAACATGTCCAGTTCATTTAATTCTTCGTTATAAATGCTGACACTGCGTTTGACAAAATTGTTACTTGTGTATATTGTGGTCCTGTAAGAGTGTTCTATGTCTGTTCTATTTTTGTGTTGGGTAGTGCATTTATCGAGGTGGCCACCGCGCTACGATCGATGAGAGCTGCTGAGCTATGGTTAGTGTGTCAGTAATACATTGTATGACAGGTTCCACCAAGTCGAAGTCGGGCGCGCGCCGCAACTCGTTGCTGCACCAGACGCCGGTGCGCAGCGCGTCCAACAGAGTGGCCGCTCGTGGCGCCGGGTGCCACACACCCACCTCGCGCTCCAACTCCTCGTCCCCTGCAGCCTCGCCCGCGCGCAGTCAGTACATACATACATACCGCTACATTATTATATTATATCTTGTTCACAAACTTAGGTGTGACATTACTAGCTTCGCCCGTCCCGTGGGATATACAGATTGGTCAATGTGTTAGTCCAGACCAGACCATTAATCTACGCCTGTTCATCCCGATTTACTTTCGAATTTCTAATATTAATAAGTTGAAGAAGTGCAACCAGACCTCGCCTTGGCATTCGACACATCGACACGATCCCTCGCCTCGGTGTAAGCGAGGAAGCGAGTGTCTGGCTGTATATGGTCTCCTAGCGCTCTGTCACAATCAACGAGCGACATGTGAGCTATAGTACATGCCATTGTGTTCAAAGTCATACATATACATAGCATCACACCTTTTACCCCCGAAGGGTAAGCAGAGGTACACATTATAGCACTTAATGTCACTGTACAATGTAACACCCACTTTTCACTATTAATGTTATGAGTCCCATGTAATAAGGGGTGAGCCTATTGCCATTTATTTGAATTATTCCTTGATCAGGCACCTTTTGAAACGTCAAATTGGATTGTCAGTGAGCGAGGTGTTCCACAGGGCAGTACACTTGGTCCAATACAAGTTTTATATGATTGATTTGATTGTATTGTGTACATCACGCATGTTTGTGGCAGGTCCGCGTCGCTTTTTTTTTCTGCGTGTCACCTGCTGCTCACCATGGAGTCGGAGTCGTCCGCCAGCTCGACCAGCTCGAAAAGCTCGACCAGCTCGACCAGCTCGACCAGCTCGACCAGCTCGAGCCCGCCCAGCAGCGCCAGGTCGAGGCAGGCCAGCTACAAGAGCCCCACGTTACCTGCGCCCGCGCCGCGCTCCATGCCCAAGCGAGCGACGCGCAAACTGTACAACCCCAACTAGTCGCCCCTCGTGTACTGGGTGCTCGGTACCCACACTACTGACACCATAACATTGTGTGTGTACTGTCTAAGCACATCGAAGTGAACTTATTTTTATATGTCCAAAGGAATGTATGCGTTATGTTGTAGAGATAAGGTCGAATTTGTTTTGTGAATAATTCGCTGCGCTTCGAGTCCACGCCATCAAGTCACGGTCATATTATCATACAGTATTCCAACTTCATACAAACGGACCAAACGCGAGCTATACTCTGCTGTACCCGCGCCGCGACCGTGGCATGCAGTCGCCATGGCAACAGTCGCGACTGTGCCGCGGTCACGAACGGGCTGTGTGTCGTTTTTTAACATTCTAGTACATATTTAATATGGCGAGTAGGATATATTGTGCTGTTTTTTGGTTTTATTTTTTTGCAAATATATTCGGTCGCAAATTTATAAGCCCGATATGATTTTCAAACAATAACATGTTTTTAAAAATTAAGTCTACCGATCAAAAGCAACACGCATTATTGAACACTTCCTGTTCCGTATACGAAGTATTTCATTTGTTTGTGTAAAAAAGTACAAATAAATAGAGACAGAAAGTAGACAAATGTAATTAAAATGCTGAGCCGGGCAGCTCTAGCGCACGTTTCCGTCCCGCGCGGCTACCTCCGTATACAACTGTCCCGCGGCCGAGTGACTCGCCTGTACGATAATGTTGCCGTGTCTCAGTGGTCCAGTGTAAGCGCGGAGCGGACAAGGTCCGGCGCACGTCTCCGAAGGAATATATGCGTTATGTTGTGACTATAAAGTTGATTTTGTTTTGTTAAGCTCGTCTCCACCAACCTCTCCTAAATGTTAAAGACCCCCTAAACCAAGATAGGTGACACTTGACAATTTGGTTTTCAACAACCTACAAGTGACACCTAATAGTACAAATAAGGGGTGAGTTTGAGTGCTTCCTTACGTTAAGAGATGGTTCCGGCGTGGTTGGTGGATTCGGCCGTCAGTGTTATACTATGTGGGGTCGTGTTGTCTGTCTGTAGCGCTGTATATATTAGTATAAGCGTCGTGGCGACACTTCAATACAATCATGTCCTACATTGTATGATGTCTTTTATTTCCCCGCAGTACATATGTATATTTAACCGACTTCAACAATGGAAGTCCTCAGTCGACCTGTCTGTATGTTTGTGCGCGATTGGCTGCACCGATTTCGATGCGGTTTTCAGATAAATTTTGTTATATTTAGGAGAAGGCTTTAGTATATAAACAGTCTTTAAAAAAGAAACCCCCCAAAGACGAAGGGTCGTAGTCGGTTTTTTTAAACGTATCTTATACAAGAATGTTGTCATACGAGAAGAGATCACCTAATGGTAAGCAATCAGCGCCGCCCATACATACCCGACATACCAGAGGCGTTACAGGCCTTTATGGGATTTGCAGAGAGAAAGGACTAGCTTTTTCCCGCGACTTCGTCCGCATATAATAATGGCTCTAACAGAATTTAGACCTTTTTATTTGTCTTTTCTAAGGTTTATGCTGTGTAGCCAGTATACTATAGTAGTCTTTGATGCTGTGTAATAAATCTCATCAGAATCGATTCAGTACCTAAGTTATATTAATAGTGAAATGAATTTATTTTCGTGGTTTCAAAAAATAAACAATTCACCGTGGTTTTACCTCGGTAATGTATAGTAACGGCTTGTATAGTTTAGGCGAAGCGTCATCGATTGACGGTAGATGTCCCACCCACACGCACGAAGCGCTTCGCATCAAGCTTCCTTGTGCGTACGCACAAGGAAGCTTGATGCGAGGCTAAGGAGTGGAATTCTTTGCCAGAGTCTGTGTTTCCTATAACCTGCCTGGGTGTCTTCAAGGTCCGAGTGAATAGGTTGCTTATGGGACGACGTGCTCCATCGTAGACCGCATCTTCACGCACCACCAGGCGAGATAGTGGACAAACGTCGCCTCATCAAATATAAAAAAAAATCCGTTCCCGCGTGGTTTCAATAATAAAAACTATTCTATGTCCTTTCCCGGGTTGCCAACCATTGTAGTACCGAACTCCAATGAAATTCGTAGCTTCCTGCCTTGCACAGCAAAACTGTGGAATGATCTGTCGTCGGAGGTATTTCCGAACCGATACGACCTTCAAACCTTCAAGAAAAGAGCGTATTCCTTTTTAAAAGGCCGGCAACGCACCTGTGACTCCTCTGGTGTTCCAGGTGTCCATGGGCGGCGCTGATTGCTTACCATCAGGTGATCCGTCTGCTCGTTTACCTCCTAATCCATTAAAAAAATAGACACAGCGGTTGAAAACACTCAGGTGTCCTTTTCTCTGGGTCTCAAACTATCGTTGTACCGAAATCTATTCTATCAAATAGATTTATTGGTATAAAAGATAAAGTCCCGGGATTCAGCAGATACTTCCCGTTATTCTGTGTTCTTGTTGGTACCGGTGCGGCGCTGCTAGTGTTGCCGGCCGGCATGTAGGGCGCGCCACTGCCGCCTGCGGCCACGACAGACTCGCGCCGGCGGCGGCGCGCGGACCAGTTGCCAGACGGCACCGCTTGCATCATAACTTATGACATAACATCACGCCTTTTATCCCCAAAGGGGTAGGCAGAGGTGCATACAGAAGTAACACCCACTTTTCACTATTTATGTTATGAGTCCCATGTAATAGGGGTTGAGTCAATTGCCATATACCGGGCACGATTCTAGACTCCGTGTTACGTACGACTGAGATTTTTTTAAAAACCCAGTAATACTTTGCCCGACCCGGGAATCGAACCCGAGACCCCTTGCCGCACTTGCGACCTCTCGGGCAACGCGTTATTACATTGCGTGATTTCATTATTCAACAATTTCAGATCAGGTCAGGATTCAGGTCAGAAGGCAACTCGCATTGGTGACTTACATCTTTAGGATAATTAGGGGGAAGATACACAATCCGGATATATTGCGAACGGTTGAAGTGGTCGTGCCCGGTGGAGACATGCGTCGACTGACTCGCGCGCTCCGCTCTCTGAACCTCGGAGCTCATGACGTACACATATTCTGTTGCTCTTTAGGATATTTGCTATATATAGTAAAAGCAGTAAAAGTGAGTTATTATATATTCTACTAGCTTACCCGCGGCTTCGGTCGCGTCACAAAAGGATAAAACGTAGCCTATGTGACATATACAGATAGATGTAGAATATCAAATTTTTCCGGGATAAAAAGTACCCTATTATTTAATCCAGACTTCTAACTTTACGTCTGCAAAAATTCAAAGCAATTGGTTTAGTAGTTACGGCGTGAAAGTGGAACAAACAAACAAACTCACTTTTTAATTTATAAGGATATATTAGTAAGGATACTATAGTGTATGGATATTTCTTGTTTATCTATTTATTGTTATTTCAATATCGCACTGGGTCTAGCCTGTAAGGATATTTGTATGTTATGATTATGAGTAAATAAATATTTTTTTGTGAATATAGTCACAAGATTAAACCCTTATAATAGCATATAATTGAAGAGTAGCTACAAGTTCACCCCGTCGTGAGCAGTACTTACAAGCTGTACAACTAATTCCCATTATCTAAAGGAGACTGGTAAAGTTTCATAGTTGGTCTCGACTCGACTCACTGAACTGAGCTACTGTACGTCTGTTTACGGTCTACTTCAATATTTAACTTTTTCATTTACGCAGAATGTATGTATTTTTAATATTGTATAGTACTCACACCATATTAATTAATTTATTCCAAATCCTAAACGTGAGGATGTTATTGGCTCATTGTTACCTACGCCTATTGTTATTTTTATCCATTTTTATAAGTTGTAAGTTCTCCATGAATTATAAATAAATAAATGAGTATTCAACGACTAATATTAAAATCAGCCATTCAGTCGTGGATTCATGGATTTATCTTTAGATTGCAGTTAACTTCTTTGTTATAACCTAGTGTTAATAATCACACCAAGAACAAATTGTCAGTGATCCATCAATCAATTTTGGTACGTGACGTTATCCTCCAACGATGTGTTCTGTGCTCCAACATCGCTTGGGCAACAACAGTGTGCTTGCAATATGAACTTTATACAAAGGATAAAGAAAAGAGTCGATTTAATGTTTTTCCCGATAATTATTGGAATATATACATTGCATGTCAGACCAGCTCCAGCACCTTGATGGTGCCCTGCGAGTTGGCGGCCAGCAGCACGGCCGGGTCCGGGCCGGCGCGGCGCCAGCACACGGCCGACACGAACTCGGACGGCTCCTCGTCGCGGCGCTCGCGCTCCAGGAAGCCGCGCACGGCGTCGAACCGGTAGACCAGCAGCGGCCGCGACAGGCCGGCGTAGTACACGTACAGCGCGTTGTTCTCGGAGCCGCAGGCCACGTAGCGGCCGTCGGTGGCGAGTCCCACGAAGTTCTTCTCGTTGGCGTGGCCGCTGAAGGAGCGCACGCAGCGCGGCGACTCCACGCGCCACAGCTTCAGCGCCGAGTCCGTGGACGCCGACACCAGCGTGCGCGCGTCCAGGAACTTGACGTACGACACGGCCTTGCGGTGGTCGCGGAACACGGCCAGCGGCGAGCGCGGCGCGCGCAGGTCGTAGTAGTGCACGCAGTGGTCGGCCGAGCCGAAGGCCAGGTGGCACGACGAGCGCGGGTTGAAGCGCACGCAGCACACGTTGAACTTGGCCTCCAGCGTCGCCACCGAGCGCTCCGCGTTCAGCGCCCACAGCTTGACGCGCGCGTCGTCGGAGCCCGAGGCCAGCAGTCTGACGTCCGCGCGGTTGAAGTGCACGGACCAGCAGCGCTTGTCGTGCTCGTGCAGCGCGCGCGTGCGCTGGCCCGTGGCGGCGTCCCAGACGCTGACGGTGCCCTCGTAGTCGGACGAGGCCAGCACGTTCTTGTGGTACGCGTTCCACGACACGCACGAGATCTTGTGCGAGCACTGCATCTCCGCGCACGGGTAGTGCACGTCCACGCAGTCGCGCACCACGGCCTCGTACTCGAACACCTTGATGCGCTTCGTCACGCCCGCGATGGCGAAGAACTCCTCGTCCTTGTCGAACTCGATGGTGGACACGATGGTGGAGTAGTTGATGGCGTCGCTGCAGTACGACAGCGTGGCCAGCGGGCGCAGCGCGCGGTACCGGGTGAAGGCCACCAGGTCCTCGCGGAAGGCGTCGAGGCCGCGGGGGCGCAGCGCCGCGCGGCTGTCGGCGTCCGCGTCGGGCTCCGGCGGCGGCGGGGGCGCGGGCTCGGGCTCCG